GTAGTAGTAGTCGGGGTAGTAGTAGTAGTAGTAGTAGTGGTGGTGGTGGTGGTGGTGGTGGTGGTGGTGGTAGTAGTAGTAGTAGTAACAATCACAATCGTGAGGTAGTGGTAGCGATAGTGGTAGTGGTAGTGATAGTCTCAGTGGTATAGTAGTAGCAGCAGGAGCAGCAGTAGCGGGAAGACGTGAGTGTCAGTAGTAGCTGTAACAATAGCAGTAGCAGGACTCACACAGGAACCTCCTGGCGGAGTCCAGTCAAGAGGTTGTGCCCGCCGGATGTAGCTCAGCCGCGGGTAGTGGCTCTTCAGATAGCTGTTGCCTGTTTCGTTCATTCGCAAGGGGGTGAAGGGCTGAGAGGGGTGGATCGAGTGTTGAAGGGCTTCGATGGGTCAAAGCTGGGAATTTCTGAAAGTCGAGATCCAAGTTGCGGTACCTCCCGAAGCCCGAGCCCGCCTTCTGCGTTAATCCGGCGCGTTTCTGGACCCTTGCCGCCGAATTCGGCAATGTCGCCGTAGCAGGTCTCGATTCTCTCCTCCACCGGGTTTTTTTCCCTCTCGCATGGCTGAGGTCTATACTCACACCGGGGGTGCGGGTACCCTAAACCCTACACCGGGTTTGGCAGGCTTAGGGAAGAGCATTGTCTAGGATGAATCTTCGATGGCACTTCCGGCAGAACATCTGCACTCCAGTTCCTGCACTCCAGTTCCTGAGCAGTTACAGGAAGAATGGGAAGTTCATGCCATGCGCAGAAATCATCTGAACTCAGTTTATCCTCCTTCTCCCTCTTTGTCCGTCTATTTCTCACTGCCTGTGTAGGGAAATCTGGCTACCTCTAGAACGTGTGTAGATGCGCTTGTCGGTTTGGTGTTCGCACAGACACGGCTTTTGCTACATGCTTCCAGATTTTCCTAACCGCATCGACGACCCCAATAAGATTATGCAGCCCGGTTGCAAGTCAAAAAAGCTCCCGGAGCTTAAGAAACTCCGTCCCTGGATCCAATATACTGAAAAAAGAAGAGGTACCACGATGGCTTCTGCTGTGTCTTTTGTCGCGGTCGCCAGAGCCTCGTGACTGTGATGCACCTTTTTGCGCGCACGGCAAGTGCCGGTGCTCAAGTTCTCGCTCTCGTCGCTGTGCCGAGACCAACTCCGAAATGCTCCGCAGCTTTGAGCATCTCCACATCACGAGCTCGCCAGCGAGGTGCCATGAACCGCAGGCGGGCGGCTGCCTCGCTCCACGTGGCCATTTGGGTGGCTTCGGTGGCCCCAGGGCAACTCAGCGGCTAGCACAGCTCCTCTCGCAACCTGCCAGACATGCGGGCTTGCATGTCACTTTTAAACCTATTACCACATCAACGACGGGGTGCCCCCACAGGACCATATGGGATGCTTGACTTGAAGTAGATACTGCGCCCAAGGAATGCTGGCCAAAACTCCCATTACTAACAAGCGACGGCTAGTGGCAGGACTGCTTCGCAGAAGAATCTGCAATCCCGCTTGCATCTGTTACCGAGAGTACCTCACCAAGGCTCCGAGGCCAAGGGCAAGACGAGGACTCGCAGGCCCCAAGCCAAGCCCTTTGCAACATAAGGACTGCAACTTGCTGGCTCTGCCTCTCCATCGGCCAGGAATGTTGAAGCTTGTAATTGCCGGCCAGTGCAAGCTCAGCCGTGGTTCGCAGGTCCTGCAGCATTCTGCAGCAAATGTTGGTTGAACTTTTCTGCAGCTTTGCGCGCCAAACAGTGGTTGATCTGTTATGACTGCAGTGGAAAATTCAGCCTGGCAAACTCTCAAACAAGACACTAGAGTCCAATATGTTGGAGCTTAGGCCCACTCGCAGACCAATCAAGTAATTATCCTTCCGGTATTTTTGTGTTTATGCATCTAGTGTGCATAAATATATTAACAAATACTAATCATACCGAAATGAACAAACAAACAACAAGTATGTATCTGTGTATATACAGATATATATATATAAAATATATATATATATTTACTTGCTTATTTTCTTTTTTCATTTATATACTTACATTTGTATGTGTGTGCGTCTCATGGCTCGAATCAGCCCGAACAAGCTGTGACCCAGCCGGGCCTAGGAGAAACAGCATCGTTGTCAAGTTTCAACCTTGATACAGGCAGAACTAAACAGTGTGAATAGTGGCCTTCCCTCAGCACACGCGTTGTGCTGCATTTTCGGAAATCCTGTCGATCGCACGATGTGGAGCAACATGCCTGTCCTCGCTCGGAGGTGCAGCTCCCGGCCATTGCGTTGCACACCAAATCTCACTCGCCTGGCGGCAAACGAATGAGGGCAGGCGACTGTTGTGACATTACGTGCCTGCCCTTTAAATGGTGACACCTAGATCACTACAGTTTCAACAGATATGAGCAGCAGGACTAGTACAAAGGCAGACCTGCAATAATAAGCACGATAGTGCGAAAGTGATTGCAATCAGTTCCAATAACCATATCCCAGTCTACTTTCAGCTATACTGGTGCCCTTGCAGATGGAACACGGTTCCCTTTGTCAATTCGAAGTGGAGTTATTCCATCTGGGTCGTTGGAGGTCGCCGCGTGAAAAATGGTATTCTAAGTGACCCTCACTTGGGATGTATCGAGCGATAAAACAGTGACCCGCACTTACCCCCACTTGGAATATGTCGAGCGAAAACTCGGCAGGAGCGCCACTTGCTCCCCATATTCCAAGTGGATGCAAGGCGCTGTAGGGCACTGTAGGGGGTCGACAGCCCTGCCTCAGACACGTCGCGATGTATCATTCATTCATCCATTCATTCATGTATTCGTCTACTCATGTCTTTACCTGTACACATGTTCCAAGTGGATGCTCTGTGCTGCAAGGGAGTCGTTGCAATACTCATGGCACTTGCTCCTCAAGGAAGCACAACGAAATTGTATGTTTCTGTACTTCCAGAGTAAAACAACAAAGTTAGTTCGACGAAAGGCTTCAGGTACCCTTGCCTCGTTCATGTATCTGTCTGTTCAGGTTATTACTTGAGCCCATATTCCAAGTGGATGCTGGGCGCTGTAGGTGTCGAAGTATCCCTGCCTTAACCACGTCTCGATGTATCATCCATTCATCCGTCCATGCTTGCATGAATGCATTGATGTATTCTTTTATTCATGTCTTTACCCATATACATGTTCCAAGTGGATGCTCTCTGCTGCAAGGGAGTCGTTGCAGTCCTCATGGCACTTGCGCCTCAAGGATGCATCACGACATTGTTTGTTTCTGTACTTCCTGAATACAACAAAAGTATTTCGACGAAAGGGTTCAGTTACCCCTGCCGCGTGCAAATGTGCTCATGTATTCATGCATTCATGTATCTGTCTGTGCAGGTTTTTGCTTGAACCCATCTTCCAAGTAATTGCCGGGCGCTGTAGGGGTCGAAGTATCCTTGCCTGAAACACGTCTCGATGTATCATCCATTCATTAATCCGTTCATCCATGCATGCATGCCTGCATGTATGCATGGATGCATTCATGTATTACTTTTTCGTGTCTGTCTCTATACACATATTGCAGGTGGATGCTCTGTGCTGCAAGGGAGTCATTGCAGTACTCATGGCACTTGCTCCTCAAGGACGCACCACGGCGTTGTTTGTTTCTGTACTTCCTGAATAAAAAACAAAAGTATTTCGACGAAAGACTTCAGGTAGCCTTGCCCCGTGCAAATGTGCTTATGTATTCATGTCTTCATGTATCTGTATGTTCAGGTTTTTGCGCGAACCCATCTTCCAAGTGGATGCTGGGCGCTGTAGGGTCGAAGTATCCCTGCCTCAAACACGCCTCGATGTATCATCCGTTCATCCAGACATGCATGCATGTATGGATGCATTCATGTATTCATCTATTCATGTCTTTACCTATACACATATTCGACGTGGATGCTCTGTGCTTAAAGGGAGTCGTTGCGGTACTCGTGGCACTTGCTCCTCAAGGACTCGCGGCGACGTTGGTTGTTTCTGTAGTTTCTGAGTAAAGACAAAGCATATCGATGAAAGGGTTGAGGCGTGCATGTGTTCTGTTCCGGTATCCATGCACTCATTTACTCATCTGTTCAGATTTTTACTTGGACCCATATTGCAAGTGGGTGCTATGCGGTGTAGAGGTTCAATGAGGCATCCCTGCACAAGCATGTTTGTTCATGTATGTTTGTGCTGATGTACGGGTATATATCCGCATATTTATATTCCGACTGGCTGATATTCCAAGCCAGGCTTGGAACGACACGGGGGGGAAAAAGGTTTGGGAACTCTTCAAAAACTTGTTCCATGTCGTTTCCTTTTGTCTACATTCCATCCACAAGGCCCTCAGTATACTGTGTTGGGCATAGAGATCTTGGAAGATTGTTAGTACATACGTGCACGCATGTATCCCCTACTGGTGCCATGTAAGACTCTCGGGTTGATGCCGACGCACTCCTGCTAGTACTCAAAGAACAACACTTGCAAGAATACCAAACTCCCAACTCTTGAAATCCCAGGCCCTCAAACCTTAGCTCTTTAGTCTGACAACTCTAAACCCTATATTCATCTTAACCCTTTAGCCCAATGCCCTGCAGCCGTGGTTTTGCCGGCGATGCTGCCTCACATTGGTAGGCGCTCAGGCGGCACAAAGCCACGGCGTCGTTCTGCGCGGGAAAGGCGCGACCCTGCAAGACATCGACCCTGAGACCCACACCTCGAAACCCCTCAATTTTTGTTGGGGAGCTTTTTCTTCTGAGGCTTCAGGAGAAGCTCAAGACACAAACCCTGGCCGAGGACGTTTGGGCCCTTAACTGTTACAACTCGTTCCTGCATTTGCTTGTGCACGTCCGTTTCGCGAACCTTGCGTACTGTGAGCTCATGACGAAGAGCGGCGGCAAAAGAACGGTCATGATATCAACAAAATTCTGAATGGTCGGGAATTACGGCTAGGATGATGAGATGAAACATCCACGGGAACAGTCGCAGCGGCATTCGTGGTCATACCGTGCAGGAGCAGTTTGTATGCCTGTTTGGGGCTTTAACAGTCGCCGGCTTACTTGTTATAGCTACTGAGTCCAGGGTTTCCGAGCATCCGGGTATTGGACTTGAAAGTCCAAGAATCGCCCATTGCATCGTCGCGGATGAAGATGAGGTCGCTGGTGCCACAGGCCACCAGGTGGACCAGGTGGTAGCCTGAATTGCTATGGGTGCGCTGTGAAACCATCTTGATCTTTTGGGTGGGTGAGGCAAGCCGCCGAAACAGTGATTGGGAACATGCGCGACAAGTCCATGAATTCCGCCTCCTGCTGAGAAAACCACGATGCACAGGAATCACCACATTATAGAACGACAATATACACCCACTCACACACATGCACAAAACACACATACTTACACACAGATACCAAAAAAAAACGCACATTTCCTGCATTTGCTCAGCAGCCCCAAGCTCGACCCAGTTTGAGCAGACTCGTGATGCTGGCACCAGAGACCTTCGGAAAGCGTTGCAGCTGCGAGAGGCAGAGCCGGTGGACCGGGAAGGTCGTGTGCCGGATGATCACATCTTCAGTGTACGGTAAGTTCTCACCATACTCCAACACCACGACCCGCGGGGCATACCCAGCTTCATTCAGTTTGAGCCATAGCAGCCACTCGTAGCCGTCGGTGTCCAGGGAGAGGAGATCGAAGCGCTGAGGTACACTGTTCTCCTGAAAAATCTGCACCACGTTCGACGGGGTGATGAACTGCCGTTTCAGGTTTACGTGCTTGTTCCGGAAGTTGTCATCCAGCATTATGCCGTGAAAGCCGTAGCGCACTCTCAGATAGCGCGTGTTGCACTGCTCCCCAGATTGCGTGCCGACTTCTACATAGAAGCCTTACATGAGTTCCGACTGCATCCAAAAAGCATCCCTGCACAAATTTAGTTCTGAAGCCGTCACAGAGTCCAAGCAAGGGACGGCTGGAAGTGCCGATCATGCCAAAGATCCGCTCCAGCACCTCTGTGATTTCCGTATTAGGCGTATTCAGTCGAACCCGGGTTTAGACATCAGAACAAGTTGGCAAACTGTCAGTCAACTCCAACGGTGACTCATTGAATCAAGCCATCAAGCCAACTGACCTCTTCCTGTACTCCGCACGGGGCTAAACTATGCAGAAATGCCCGACTTGCTAGACGAAGCCTCAAATAGCTTAGTCTGAACAGCTGACACCTGAAACTCTTGTCGCCCGGTCATGCAATACAGTCGGCAGCCCATAAGCACCCTCAATCCCTCCTCAACTACAAGCCCTCAGCGCGAAAACCCACACTGGTCTAAAATCCCCTCTGAAGCCTAGCGCGAAACCCCTAGCCCAGTCCAAACAGCCAACACTCTACCGGCCACAAGCCCTAAAAACAACGTCCTGCACCCTGACAAGCCGAAATCCTAAATCCCACAAGACCAATTTTACCTATAGTCTCCATTGTAGTTCCTTTTGGGGTTTACCTTTTATAGGCTTCTAACTATAAAATTATGGGTAGGCCCAAGATGCCAGGTCTTTCTGGGACTCCGAGAAGACGGGCGCCAAACCTCGCTCCCAGAGCAAAAGCTCCTCCATGCCCGGCGCAACCTGACGTCGGTTTAGGGGCTTTGGGTTTCGGTTTAGGGGTTTGTAAAGTAAGGGGATGAGAGCTTTAGCGCTTTGTTGTTTTCTCGCTCTGGAGTTTCCGCAGCTGGGACAAGCCGAGCGCGGCCAGCTGGTACATCGAAGCACTTTGGCTAGAGCACCTTGAACGGCAACATGCAGATTCACTCGTCGCCAGAGTTCAGCAAATCTCTCACAACCACAGGCCTGCAATCACGGTCTGATGCTACTATCTCAAACTCGTTGCGATGCCCTGTCACACAAGTCATAAGCTCCACCGCCGGGATCGTATCCAAGCGTACTTTTGTCTGTTGGCTCCATGGGCACTCCCACCACATTCTCGCACTTGCCAGCTCGGACAAGTGTCACGAAGTAGCAGGCAGCATGCAGTGTCACCGAACTCGAGTAAACTGCTAGCTCCAACGCCGGTTGCAGCTGTCGTGTGTTCCACCAACACAGCCTCGTATATGTCGGTACATTGTCCCGGGCCCAGCCCCGCCACAACGTAGGCAGGTCGTTGAAGCACGACGGGTCACGTGATAGCCACATGCGATAAATACAAAATTCCATGCAAGCAATATCAAGCATTCCCGCATGAGCTGAAGTAGCTGATCACGCACTCCATGGCACATGCAGTCGAATTCATTGCATGCAGAAGGTTTCATGAATGCAATGCAGTAGCCACTTCCGCTGTGGTCTCTGCAGCGACCACTGTTCGTGCCGTCGTGGTCAGGGCTGAAAGCTCCACACAGCACCAACTGGGGCAATTTGTTCAAGAGTTTAGGGGGTTTAGGGTGGTTAAGGGGCTTGGTTTCGGGGATTAGGGATCGGACTCTCGCAGCTCGCACTCTCCAGGTCCTCAGGAGAGGCAAAGAGAGTACGTTGAGCCCATCAGGTGAAGGCAAGTGAAATAATTCTGAAAGCGAGAGTTCAGTAGGGCTTTCCATTAAGATTTTTGGTTTTTAAGAAAATTGGGATTTATGGGCCCTGTTCCGTCTCGCCCACATCCGGGAAGCGGATGTTCCGCTGGGCATAGAGAGAGAGAGAGAGAGAGAGAAAGCACGAATGTTTGCAGAGAAAATTAAGGACAAACAGCAGAGAATTTTCACCACGTGTTGTCCAACACCACATCTCTGCTTTCAACCTCGCTCCCGCCGCTTCTTTGGGTCGGCTCGAGCGACGACCCATCACGACAAGCACGGAAATGAAACTGGGAGCCGACTTCCGCAGCGTCATCTTGACTGTCCTCCCCATGGTCTTTGCAGCTGGTCTCAAAGATCCTCAAAGTGCCATCCGTCCAGGAAAGGGACAAAACCAACCTCCGCGGTCCGAGCATCGCTATCTCCGTCCTGTTGAGCTGGATCTGGATCGCTCCCGTGCTGGACAGCCATCCGTCGCTTCTCTTCATGGCACCCTCGCCTTGTACAAATGACCCCAACCGCCACGGAACTTCAAGTCGAAAGATGTCTCTCCAGCGCTCTGTAGAAATAGGATGTAAAACTGGATGTTATATATATATATATCTATCTATATCTATATGCTGGTGTTTGTCGTACTCCAGACGAGAAGCTTGCCTATCCTGGGCTAGGGTAAACCCCTAAACCCTAAACCTAAACCCTAAACCCTACACCAGAGAGCCCCGAAGGCACGCGCCGCCTCTGGCAGCCGTGGAGAGGCAGGTTCAGCCCGCAGCCAGCGCCTGTGGACTTCTAGGTCTCGGCCTCGGGGCTTCTCGAGTTTTAGGGTTTACGGTTTAGGGCTTTTAGGGGTAACACTTTAGGGCTTAGAGGGTTTACGGTTTATGGGGCTTATAATAATTATAGGGGTCACGCTTTAGGGCTTATAGGGTTTATGGTTTAGGGCTTCTAGGGGTCACGCTTTAGGGCTTTAGGGTTTACGGTTTGGGGCTTACAGGGGTCACGCTTTAGGGCTTATAAGTTTTATAAGGGTTACGGCTTAAGGCTTATAGGGTCACGGCGACAAAGGCCTGTTGGGTTTACGACGGGGGTTTACCGACGGGGGTTCGGTTTAGGGCTTATAGGGGTTTACGGTGTAGGGTTCAAAGGGCTGTATGACTTGGGCTTATAGGGACCATGGGCAGTCGGCTTAGGGCTCAAGCGGGATTACGGTTGAGGTGTTTATTGGGTTTTTTCAGGTTTACAGGGTTTACGGTTTATGATTTCTAGCCTAGCCCTTATGGTTTGATGCTTACAGGGTTTTTTGGGCTTAGGGCCGCTGGGGTGTACGGCTTAAGGCTTGCTATGGGGTTTGCGGTTTAAGGATTTCGTGGGTTTTTTGCCCCCCACCTAATCTAAGGGTTTAGGGTTTATGAATATTTCGGTTGAGCGTATAGGGTTTACGGCTTGTGGTTTATGGGTTGACAGGCGCTCACTCTGGTCACATGCCAGGCGAGGTTTTTTGTCCGTTGACAGTACCGCTGAGTGTGGATGACTGTACTCCCTGACACAGCTGAAAATCATCCAATAACTCAACAAAGCTTATGTTTAGCGGAACCTAATCTAGGTCTTTATCTGACTCTGTCCATCTTCCTCTCTGCGTGTCGCTTCTGTCCAACTGGTTACGCATGTCGCTGTGCGGTTCATTCTTACTGCTGTCGGCGTGCATGCCACATGTGTGATATACTGCTACAAAGGCTTGCATGGAACGGGCCTCACGGAGATCTGAACGTGAAGACTAAGTTCTGTGCATTGTCAGCTTTCCATTTCATGCAGAAACAGCCATTGCCAGCCAACCCTGTTCCCAAAGGCGCGACGTTGGTGCGGGCTCTACATAATTGGCATTAAGCATTGTTTCGGCACAGTAGTGTGCGACTATCCCGGACAGCATTCCTTGCGGCCACCATGCTTTGCAGACCAAGTCTCTGAGGGAGTTGCAAGCACCAGCAAAGTCACCATAGAGGGTGCCATTCCTTTGCCGGAGGCCGCACACATTACAGAGTGACGCTGTTGGGGTCCGGCGATGTGGATTCCAATCACGTTGCTCCTTTACTTTCCTCGGTTACACTCAGCTCATCAAAAAAAACCCTGAACTTCTCGGTGGATGCCTAGCTGCGTGTGGAGCTTCTCTATGAGAAGCTGGGCCTCCGCCACCTTCCCAGTTAAAGTCACGCACTTGTTTCAGCTACCTGCGGTTACATCTCCGGTTCTGATATCACGATTGGGGCCTTCGGGGTGGAATCATACACACAAGGGCATCGGCAGCCAACCTACACTTTCTACGAGTATGCTTAGACACTCCAGTGTTCTGCGCAAAGAAAAGAAGCACATATGCATGAGTATCACTGGAACTGGACACTCGCAGGCTTTCTGCTTTGGAACAGCATTTGCAGGCGGCTGCGGCTGTGTCGCTTCGCAAACTTCGAGCCGCTGTGATCGGAGCTGCTTTGTCTTCGTTTCCGGCCGAGTTGCATGCTGCTCACCGACGCCAGGGACAAGGTCGATAAGCCTGTTTGACCAGCCGGACACGCACAGTGTGATTGACAGGAGAAGCAAGGCCCAACAAGTTGCAATTAGTGCCGGGCAGAGTTCTTCTTTCTCACTCGAGCTGAAGTTGCAAGGGTCCAGGACAAGAGCTGAAACACTGTAGGCGCAGTCGCTGTGCTGATATTTGCCCATGGCAAGTAACCCCAGCTGCAGAACAAACAGAAGTTGCTACAAGATATATCGATACAACTGTATACTGTATGCTGGTAGAGGCAACAGTAAAGCAAATCATCGCAGACCAAGAAAAGACGTAATCCTTTACTGGACAGCACCAGAAAAAATCACTGAATAATCATCATCAAAGGCTTACGGGGGAGAAGTAGATCTGAAGCCTTGTCTCTTTGCCTTCAGACGGCCTTCTTGCTGTGAAGAGGTGGGCCAGCAGCCTGGCCCCAGAACAAAGGTCACTCGCGGTGAGCAGGTGGGCATAGTTCGTCAAGACCTCGCGAAGGCTCTATGGAGCGTTGAGGGTTTGGGGAGTTAAGGGTTTAGGGCAAGTGGAATACGGAAGTCAACTGGCTGTTGCAGATTTTACTAGCTGTGACTGATAGCGACGTCGGATATGATGGCAGCTGGCAGCTCCAAAGTAACACAACCATCGGCAGGGCAACATGATGCCCTAGAGAGGTAGCAGTTCTGCGGCTTGACACCGCATGAAATATCCATTTGCTATTCTTCAAGCAAAGCTGCAAGAAGCGACTGCGAAAGCTGCGAATGGCCAGGGAGGTTGCTAAACGCCTCCCTCGACACCGTCAATGACCTCGGGAAGCTGTAAACCGCCGCAGCTTGGGGGGGTGGGCAATTCCATTCCGAATAGTTCGTTGCACTACCCAGAATGAAACCTAGAGAACTACATTCTCACACGCTGTCTCAGCAGTTCAACTCCTCGTAAAACCGACAAGCTGCAGAACAATCTTCCCAAACCCCTATCGCATCTCATCATGGTGAGTGTGCAACATGACAAGGGGTCCCGGCACTGAGCCCAGGGCATGCCCGCTGCATGCTCCAGATGCTGCATAACGATCATCACCACCTGCGATACCTACACTATGATATAGCTAAAGCAACCTCTTCAGCAGACAGAGCCAGTGAGTTTGACGATGATGAGGACGAGGATGATGCTCACCATTGCTGGTAACAGACATCAATGCGTCCAGGGCGACAGTGATGTTTAATAAATAAGTGCCCGGAACCTCAAATAAGGAA